CTACTCCCGTCCAGCCGAGCTGAGCTGGGTCCAGGAACCCGGGAAGCACACTTAATCACCACAACACGAGGGCTGTTATTTTGGGGTCTTATTGGGTCTGCAGCAGAACCAGAAGGAGGCTTAATGTCATGTTCCTGCAGGCGGGGGGAGGGAGGGAGACACACTGAATGTCTCTAACGGTGTTCGGTAAAAAAAAGCTGCGATGTGTGATCATGTGAGCTGCAGCTCCAGCCCTCTGACTGCAGAGGGAGGTGATTCTGTTTGCCGTCAGAAAAAAATGGAAATATAAAAATATAAAAGACTAAAACCCAAAGTGGAGTCAGGTCTCTGCAGTGTTGAACCCAACCAGTGAGGTGAAAGGTCACTGGTTATCAACTAGTGGCCACATCGGGCCCACAAGCCATCAGCCAATCAGAGCAGCTCAGGGGTGGAGCCAGAGATATGTTCTCTGGGTGGCAAAAGTGTGATGTGAGGTTTATTTTATTGACTTTTCTTTTGTTGTTTAATTTTATTTAGTAAAAATAGAAACGTCGCTGAACAAGAAAAAAAACGTGTGGTAAATCCGTGTCTCTGGTCTCAGCAGCTGGTTGGTGTCAAACACGTAAATAATCCAGTTTCAGGTCAGATCAACCCAATGCAAACAGAACAGCAGGTTCAAATCCAGGATATAAATACCTGGTTAAACGTTAGAAAATGTGTGAATATTAAAATTAAAAAATCACCAGGTTTATGTGTGAGTCCCTTACACCAATAATGGTGTTGAATAATAAAAAAACAAACCTTGACACGACTCATTTATGCTTCTAGTCATGAAAATATTAAAATATACATTTAAAGGAAAATTTAACACAATAAACCATGAAAACAGGATGTTAAAGGAAACTAACATTTTCTTGTTTGTGAACAAAAACAGCTTTGGTGGTCAAAAGTAGCACGCCAAAGGGTCAAAGCCGCGTGTGACCTACGCCTTATATAAATTAGAAAGTTTATAAATACTAGAGAAAAACTTCTTTTCTGAGAAACATCTCATAAAAACGTCAAAATGTGGAGCCCTTCCCCCAATCTGCAGTCTCCAGGCGTCTGAGGCCTTAAACCGACCAATCAGCAAGCAGCTCATTAATGTATTCATGCGCTGGCCAAGTGGGTGGGGCTAAGTGGCTGATTTAGCGGTTGGCCTCATCGACATAAATATATATGGCCTCTGTCAGGGCTCCTGGCACAGATGAAAACTTCTGCTTCTTAGACCCTAAATCGGAGTTTTAGATTGCTGATAAACTAGATTCTTTATCCGCTTTAAGTTCCCAAATATTTTTCTGTTTTTTTCGTGGACTTTGACCAAGATCAAGAATTTGATTGTATTTTATTTTATTTTGGGTTTTTAAAATCACCCAGTGTTCGAATAATTAATCTTTAGGCTTTGTTTTCCCACTTTCATGCCTTTAAATGAAACCATTATTTGCTGTTTATTACTGTAATCGGTTGTTTTTACCAACAGAACCGACTTTGTTCTGTAACTTCATGTTTAAACATTAAATTAGTTTTCTTAAACATTTTTGGCATTTTAAAATCATGCTGGGCTAAAAAAAAGCCTCTCAAATAAAGTTAAGTGCAGAACTTTGATTGTTGTGGAAAACTGTTCCTGTAAATAAATAATAGATCAAATTAAATCTGAAAACTTTATCAACAAAAACAGTCAAAGTCTAGTTTGTTGTTTTAGCTTAACAGGAAATCTTTCTCCGAAGAGTGGCTGGGCTCTCCCTTAGAGATGGGGTGAGAAGCTCGGTCATTCGGGAGGGGCTCGGAGTAGACCCGCTGCTCCTCCTCATCGAGAGGAGCCAGTTGAGGTGGCTCGGGCATCTGGTTAGAATGCCTCCTTGACACCTCCCTGGTGAGGTATTCCAGGCACGTCCAACCGGGAGGAGACCTAAAGGTAGACTCAGGACACGGTGGAGGGACTATGTCTCTCACCTGGCCAGGGAACGCCTTGGGATTCCCCCGGAGGAGCTGGCCCAAGTGGCTGGGGAGAGGGAAGCCTGGGCCTCTCGACTTGGGCTACTGCCCCCGCGACCCGACTCTGGATAAGCGGATGAAAATGGAAATGAAATGGAGGAAATCTTTTAGGATCTCAGGATATTCTTTGTGCTTCGGCTCTTTAATCCCGATGGAAAAAAGCCGAGCTTTGAACCAAAGTGGCTCTTAATTATAAAAAACTCAGCTCTACCCGTTCTTAAGTGGAGAGAATAACGAGCTAAGATGGTTCGGCTGCAGATCTGAGCAGGAACACCAGCAGAAAGTTAAAAAACCAGTAAAGAATTAGATTTAAAATCTCGTTAGGGGTCGGACTTATCGGGAGACCCGGTTCGTCTCCCCCAGACTAAACCACCAGGTTCTGGTTCGGTCCGGACCTGCCATGCTAATTTAACATGAATGCATCGTTACTAATCTGACAGATGATGTTTAGCAGAACCGGAAAGAACTTTGGTTCCTGCAGAACCCGTCGTGTTTATCTGAACCTTCTGCTGCTTATTAGGTCTACAAGCAGCGGAGTGTGTGAGATGCTCTGATACTCTGAGATTGGATGGAAGCGTCGCTGCAGCACAGAGACAACAGCTGAGTGTTGCTGGTAAACACTCCCTGAACTCCTAATAAACTCAAATCACGAGCAGATCTGCGCTCAAAACTCAAGGAGAGACATCACAAGGGTGCGGCTCCACCCAGATTAAAACAAAACCACAAAAAAAAACCTCATTTTTCTGCTGTGTCTGCATCGTCCATCCCCACATAAATTGTGTTTACAGGTCCTGAGCTCGTGACCGTGTTATATTCCTCATGAAAAACACCCCAAAGCGGTTTCTAGCTTCAGGCATGCGCTCTGCTCTCTGAGCTACTGAGCTTTTTCGGGTCTACACAGCATTTGCATCATCGTGCCCGCCCCTCCCCTTCCAGGTAGTGCTGAATCCAGATCCCTCCTACCCTGGACTGTAAACACTGACACCCGATCTCTCCACGTAGCTAACGGGGAGTTTATCCTCCACAGCTGTGGTTTCCTTCCTTCTTATCCAGTCTGCAGTTTAAATAACGCCTAAAACTTTAAAATGCCTTTTTGGCCTAGAAAGCAACTGGAACTTGTTCTTTCGTCCCAAAGAAAAGTTCAGTCTGCAGAAATGTTGGATTTTATTTTCAAGAGCTCTCAACAGCGGAGCCAGAATGTGACCGTGATTTCACAGACTGCTTTATGTACCTTCACCAGTACCAGACTGGGGTTTCAGACGGATTACATCTTCAAACTGGCACCATTCCAACACTAAAACCACCTGATGGAGAGGCCAGAGCGAGGAGTTCAACCAAAATGCTAACCGCTAGCAGCAAGCCGAATAGTTACAGCTGTGCTGAGCGGGCACCGGTCGGTCCCGGTGACCAGTTCACTGCTGGCGTGTGTGTTGACAAGGCTGCTCTCTGCTTCTTTATACATCCATGCAGAGCCGGATTAAATAAATGGACTACACTAGGCAGGCTACATTTTTACCCCCCCCCCCCCCCCCCCCCCCCCATCGATGTTATTTAATTTAATGAAATCTGAAACTTACCAAATTTACTTATAAAAGTTCATTCACCTTTTACATAGCCTAGTCTTTGCTTACAAATTGGTTGTTTGTATGCCAAAATAAGTCATGTGTTGTATGTAAAACATTCTATCAGACAATTTTTTGATATGAATCATTTATACGTCATTACACAGCTGTATTAAATGCTAATAAATTATCCTCATCTTATCGATTGGGAGTGACATTGTCAAGGCGGTACCAGTAAATAACCACTAGGTGTCATTAAACTATGTAAACAGAGCAAATATGTGTCTCTTATTTGCTCTGTTTATATTTAATCACTACATTTAATTAAAAATATTTTCTGCTAAATACAACAGCTTACAACATTTATAAATGTTGACAAATTAATCACATGATAGTGGAAAGACATTCAAGACTAAATAGATTAATTTGAATGGACTGAAGCATGTTTTAAAGGTGCAAAAACAAACTATAAACACGCAGCCTAAATTATTACAGTATAAATTTAATACAATCTATAATCTTAAAAGAAAGTATTTTAATAAAATGAAAATGTTATCTTAAGGTTTGATCTTGCGTTATGCTCATTCAGGCTGTTTTCGCCTCTGCTGAATCAGAAATTCTGTGTCAATTTTCTGAGTGTGAACTTATTGTTTTGCTATTTGAACATTAATAAATTATTTGAAAAATAATTAATAAAACCAGCAACACTTACCAAGGAAACCATTTAGCATGCTCCACTCCGGGATCATCTTCAGCCTTCCAGCATCACAGGGCCTCAGTCACAGCAGAAACACGTCTAAAGAAACGTTCCTTGGTTAAGCTTCGGTTTATGTCTCCAGATTTCCTCCGTGATGCCGAAGAATATCCAATATTTTGTGAGGGATGGTTTAGTGCAAAGTACTCACGCATCCTGTCATCAGTTTGGTACCACTTTGCAGGATCAGATGGTTAGCTAGTTGTTAACACCCTTTCTGGGTCTAGAGGCTCCTGTAAGACTATATTGGGCTCACTTCTGGCTGGCTGCTGTTCTTCCAGTTCGTCCTTCTGTGACAGCGTTGATGTTGACGGCGTTGGCGCTACAGCGTCTTCCGCCGCATCTTCCACCACGTCTTCGGGTCGTGTCTCCTCCGGGTCTGACTTGGGCCCAGCCTCTGCTGAATCGAGCAGGTTCACAGCTGTCGGACGGCTGCCCGAGCAACCCGACAGAAACTTCTGTAAAGCCCCCCCCCCCACGCTGTCTCTTCTTTTGTTCCTCTTCATTTATTTATTTTTTACGTTTTGCTGTACCCGAAAGCATCGTGAAAGTTAGCCTGCTCAAAAAACACCTGCCAGCTTTGTTGTGTCCCGCTCTGACTCTGACCACTTCTCTGACGTCCTTAATAGGGTGGCGCCTTCATGTGACGTAGCCAATGAAACGGTCAGTGGTTAAGGTAAACATTGTCACTATTTTTAGTTAATTAATAAATATTGGAACAAACTGTAGATAGGAGTCCTATCTACAAATTCTATCATAGGACATTTGTACATTTAATTTTTAATTTCTTTATTTTTAATTTTGTTCCTCTGTCTGGGCCCCAATCAGCCAATCAGGCCCTAGGCACGTGCCTACTTTGCCTTTGCGTTAATCCGGCTCTGCATCCGTGCTTTACTGGGAATCTACGGTTACGTTGTGGAATGGGTGGAATTCACTCGGGTGGAGGCGGGATTTAGCGGGATTCCAGCATCTGATTTCAGATTGATCAAACGTCTCAAGGAAAAAAACTTCAGAACAGATGTTGTCTCCATAGGGCCAAAACCGTGTCACACATGAGCCAATCACTGCTCTGATGGGTTCAATAACCGGACATAAGCCGTTAGGTTGGGACGCGTTTGTAAATAAAACCCTGGTCTGCTCGAGAAGATGGTGGAGTTTATGTGAACATCTAGTTTCTCTGTCGGATCTTCTTCCGCCTTCGCAAACTTTTATTCAAACACGATGCGTGTCTGAAGTACCAGGAGGTTATGGAGGTGGACCCGGTCCCGAGACCTGCTCCAGCTGACCTGGGAGCGTTTTCCTTCTCATCTCTGCTTGAATCAAAATGTTGAAGCTAAAACTCACATTTTCTGCTTGTCAGATATTTTTTTCAAATGAAATGAAAGGTTGTGACTAATTGTGTTTTGGGGAAAGCTGGAGGTAAAACATCTAAAGTCCTATTTAAAACGAGCATCATGTGGAAACGGCCTGGCTCACCCCTTGAGTTAGGAGCCTTCCTTCCGTTTGAATCACTGATTTATCCTATTTCTGTGGAAGTGAAAAACAAACTGAAGCTAACAGGGAAGCAGCTGAAGGCAGAAGGACCTTCAGAAGGTCTGATGGAGACCACCTGAAGTTCTGGAGAGAGAAAAGTTAGTTCCCTCCAGAGAGCTGCTGCCTGTGATGGGTTCCTCCCCCAAGTTGGGGCTCGTGCAGAGGCCAGGGTGACGTCACTTGGGGCTGGTCCTACCGTTTATTAGCCCGGGGAGCGGAGGACCGGGGCGCAGGAGCTTCACGGCGGCCGGTCTTCCTCCTGCTTCACCCCCAAAACTTTGTGGAAACTCCGAAAACTGAGAGAAAAACCAAACTTGAAGTATTTACTTCCAGACTCGAGGTGCAGAAGGAGCCGAGCCCACTTCCGTTTCACTTGAATTTGGATAAAAGTGGATTTTGAACCCTTCCTGACTCGGGATGGCCGCTTCATCTCTAGCTTTGCTGTTGGTGGCATTTGTTTTGACCTCAGCTCATCAGGTAAGTGTCCGCGCAGCTTTGCGCCTATTTCACGCAAACTTTGCGTCATTTCTTTGGCCCAGAAGCCGTTAGAGCTCTGCAGAGGTCCGCACACTGCGTCCTCTGTGCGCAGTGTGTTGACTCTGCGCACGCACGCACGCGTTTATCCTGTCACACCGGAGCTGGAGCACAAACAGTTAGTTGCTGGAGGTCCTCCAGGCTGCTGCTGCTTCCCTTCATGCCGCCGCCTCTAACTTGTTGTTTTGTGTCTCCTGCAGGCTGGTGACGCAGACAAGCAGGGTGAGTCCTGATGATTGTCTTCTTCTGAATGTTCTGACCCAAGCGCAGCTTCCTCCTCCCAATGGCGCCCCCAAGGGGTGGCCAGGGGTGGCCAAGGCCACCCCTAGAAAACTGCTGCCCCCCCCCCCCCCCCCCCCCAGCAAAAGCCAGTATTAATAAATCATTAATATTAATGTTCACTCAAACCATAAATCCATCGTATTTATTAAAAACATAATTGTAAAGCAAAATAAAAATAATACAACTAATGAGTAAAGAAATAATCAGAATAAAAATACACGTTTCTGCTGCTCACCATTTAAAAACGTTTTGTTCTCCGTAGATTTTGTGAACACAGCAGCAGGTGAATTAAACAAAAAATACATTTAAAATTTAAATTTTAAATAACATTTTAAATAACTAAAATTTATTTTTCTGAAATGTTTGTGTTTGTAAAATTTAAGTAAAATGTTTTTGATACGTACTGTTCTTAAAAAAAACAAAACAAACAAACAAAAAACTAATGAAGGAGCAATGCAGTACATGGCCACAGGCTAAACTCTCCCACAGTTACCACAAGGACCAGTTTGGTGTGCCACCCCAAAGATTCCTCTGGCCCCGTCTGGCCACCCCTATCAAAATTTTCTGGAGGCGCCCCTGCCTCCTCCAGAGCAGAGTCAGGAGAACCAGCCCTCTGATCCGAGTGGGAGGGGAGTGTGTGTGTGTGTGTGTGTGTGTGTGTGTGTGTGTGTGTGTGTGTGTGTGTGTGTGTGTGTGTGTGTGTGTGTGTGTGTGTGTGTGTGTGTGTGTGTGTGTGTGTGTGTGTGTGTGTGTGTGTGTGTGGCGCTGTAACCCCCCCACACACCCATCAGAGCTGCTTCAGGGCCTTTGTTAGACAGGAAGGAGAATTCCACCTCTAAATCTCCCACATCTGTTCTCCATTCAGAGGTGAAGGAACAAGCGAGATGCAGCCGTGTCCACGTAGGATCCTCTTACGTTCACTTATCTGCCGAACACTTCCAGGGCCTTTGCACAGCGAGGCGTCGTGCTGAGGTCGAATGCTTGAGCCACCGTTGGCTCCATTATCGGCCTCGTAAACGTTTCATGTGGTTCCTCCTGAAATGCTCACCAGAATCTCGTAAACCCAGGGTGCTGATGTTTCAGCATCTTCATAAATGTCGGGTTTGTGGAACCAGAGGGCAGCTGCGTGAGGCCAGGCTGGATCATTTCTAATGCACTGATTCTGGTTTCTGATTTTTGTACGGCTCTGTCTGCTGATGCAGGTTTTGGTCGATGCAGAACTTTAGCCACCAGAATTCATTAATTTTTTTCTTCAACTTGATGATTCTGGAGTAAAACCAGTTAATGCTTTAAAAACACTGAACAGCGATGAGTTTAGAGACTTTTTTATTTCTCAGACTGAAGCCCCTCCCCTTCTAGTTTTTTTTATTTCAAACTGACCAATCACAGATTAAACACACCAATGAGTTTTTACAGATTTTAATCACAAAAAGACTTTTTGAAGCCTTGCTATTAATTTTCTGACATCAAATTTAAACAAACTAAAGATGAATCGATATGGCTTGGATGATATGTGCTGCTGATTTATTTGAGCAGATTATCATGACTGACATCTACATGGTTGTTTGCTTAATTTGCATAAAATGTCACTAATTACAGCAGCTGATGCTCAGCATTCCTGATCCTGATCAGCATTTCTGTCTCTTTTTTTGTGCTCAGCATGAAAATTGCAAATTTAACCGAAGTTTATCAGCCAAATAAGAATTCCATCCATCCATTTTCATCTGCTTATCCAGAGTCGGGTCGCGGGAGCAGTAGCCTAAGGCGAGAGGCCCAGACTTCCCTCTCCCCAGCCACTTGGGCCAGCTCCTCCGGGGGAATCCCAAGGCGTTCCCTGGCCAGGTGAGAGACATAGTCCCTCCACCGTGTCCTGGGTCCCCCTTTAGGTTTCCTCCCGGTTGCACGTGCCCGGAAAACCTCACCAGGGAGGCGTCCAGGAGGCATCCTGATAAGATGCCCGAGCCACCTCAACTGGTTCCTCTCGATGTGGAGGAGCAGCGGGTCTACTCCGAGCCCCTCCCGAATGACCGAGCTTCTCTCCCTATCTCTAAGGAAGAGCCCAGCCAATCTTCCGAGAAAACTCATTTTGGCCGCTTGTATCCGTGATCTCGTTCTTTCGGTCATTACTCAAAGCTCATGACCATAGGTGAGGGTAGGAACGTAGATCGACCGGTAAATCGAGAGCTTCGCCTTCTGACTCAGCTCTCTCTTCACCACGACAGACCGGTACAACGCCCGCATCACTGCAGATGCAGCACCAATCCGCCTATCGACCTCACGCTCCAGTTTTCCCTCACTCGTGAACAAGACCCCGGGATACTTAAACTCCTCCACTTGGGGCAGGACCTCATCCCTGACCCGGAGAAGGCATTCTACCCTTTTCCGAATCAAGACCATGGTCTCAGATTTAGAGGAGCTGATTCTCATCCCAGCTGCTTCACACTCGGCTGCGAACCGCTCCAGCGAAAGCTGAAGATCACGTTCTGATGAAGCCAACAGGACCACATCATCTGCAAGAAGCAGAGACCTGATCCTCAGGCCACCAAAACGGATGCCCTCCACACCTTGGCTGCACCCAGAAATCCTGTCCATTAAGGTTGTGAGCAGAATAGGTGACAAAGGGCAGCCTTGGCGGAGTCCAACTCTCACATGTAGACTGGTTGGGCACACTCCCACACACTCTCCAGGATCCCCCTAAGGGTATAAAGCTGGTCCAGTGTTCCATGGCCAGGAAGAAAACCACATTGCTCCTACTGAGTCTGAGGTTCAACAATCCGACGTACCCTCCTCTCCAGAACCCCTGAATAGACCTTACCAGGAAGGCTCAGGAGTGTGATCCCCCTGTAGTTGGAACACACCCTGCGGTCCCCCTTTTTAAACAAGGGGACCACCACCCCGGTCTGCCAGTCCAGTGGGACTGCCCCCAATGTCTACGCGATATTGCAGAGCCGCGTCAGCCAACACAGCCCCACAACATCCAGAGCCTTAAGGAACTCTGGGCAGATCTCATCCACCCCCAGAGCCTTGCCACAGAGGAGCTTTTTAACCACCTCAGTGACCTCAGCATCAGGGATTTGAGAGGCCAACCCAAAGTCCCCAGACTCTGCTTCCTCACTGGAAGACGTGTCGGTGGGATTGAGGAGGTCTTCGAAGTATTCTGCCTACCGATTTACAACATCCTGAGTAGAGGTCAGCAGCACACCGTCCCCACTATAGATAGTGTTGGTAGCACACTGCTTTCACCCCCTGAGGTGCCGGATGGTGGACCAGAATCTCGTTGAAGCCGTACGGAAGTCTTGCTCCATGGTCTCACCAAACTCCTCCCATGCCCAGGTTTTTGCTTTGGCGACCACCCGAGCTGCGTTCTGCTTGGTTTCATCTTCACCCAATCACCCTTCGCATTTAGTAAAGGGAAGCCAAACTTTAGAGTGCGCTCATGTTCTTCCAGTCGGAAATTCGGAGTTCCGAGGAGAAAGCGAACGCACCATTAGCGGAACGGAAGCTAACATATCAAGCTAACGCTATCTTAAACATTTTATTTACCTACCGGAGCAGATTAAGATGAGGATGTCTCACTTAGATCATTGTCTGTCGCTGGTTTCATCATCACCCAGTTACCCATCACATTTAGTGAAGTGGACCCAAGCTTTAGCGTGCGTTCTTTCTACCATGCTGCTCTGTTTACAACTGGCTCGCAGCGACCGACGACATAGCGCTCTTGCGCATGCGCAGCTGTCTAGGCAAGTTCTCGTTATGAAGGACGGGTACCGAAACGAGGCACCGTTTCAAATGACGTGAATCGGTGCTCACTCGGTACTATGGAATTCGGTCGGTACCTTAAAAAGTACCGAATTCAGTACCCATCGCTAGACATAGTCAAGTTTGGGGTCTGAGAAACGGTGCACCGGTATATTTTTCCCCCCCGAGAACGACTTATAAAGCATTCCTTCCTACACTGCAGATGTGTTGATTAAACGAGTCAACCACCCCTTTAAGCTAGTTCACACGGTTCAACAGGTGACAGCAGGTCATTTCAGTGTTAAACGTGTAAGCTGCAGCAAACCTCTTCCCCTCAGCTCACCATCATCACAACTCGACTCAATTCGGCCTTTTCCAGCAGCACAAGTCCTTATTGTCGCCCAACTTTTCAGAACCGCCGTGGGTCCTGGCATACCGAGCCGCTCCGAAAACGCAATGTCAGCGACTGTCGGTCACTGATTGGGCAGGGGGTGGAGTCACTGGTTTCACCTGTGTCACCTGTTTCCGCGACTGATTAAAATGTTCAACATGACCACCGAGATGTTTTTGTGCGACTCGCGGATCACCTCCCGCCACTTTTGTGTCTGGTACAGTCAGATTATCTCAGACCTGCCGGTGCTGCATGGATTGGAGCTGTTTAAGATTCAGATTTTAATAATAATGAATTTTTCTACAACAGGTTCTTTGTATTTCCTAAACCGATGAGATGTTTTTATATTAAAGCCGTTTAAAAGCTTTGAAGTGTTTAGAAAGCAAGGCGCCTTGGAGCTGCTGCTCTTGGAGGCTCCATCAGGTTTCATCCCTTGAGGATTTGTTTACTGTGAGAGTTTCTGTGTTACGTCAGTCCTGCACATGTTCCTCTAACGCGTTCCTGAGAGGTTCACCAACTGAGCATAAAGAGGAAGTGATGTAATGATGAAGTTTGTAAATGCAACGTTTAGACGAGGCTCTAAATGTTCTCATGCAGACAGAAGCACATCTGCTGGGTCAGAAGGTCAGAGCGGGCGGTTTAAAATTGTGTCAGACGATTATTTTTCTTGACATTTCTGAGCATGTACGCTGTGATTTGTGAGGCACGTCTCCTCCTCAGACGTGTAATTTGTTTTACCGTCGACACCGGTTTGAGTCTCTGCTCGTCAAGACCTTCGAGGTGATTACAGGGTCTCAACATTCGAAACATTTTTCCTCTAAACAGAAAAATTTCAGCTTAACTTCCGTCAGCTGGAAAAACAAACGAGCCAGGACGGAAACTTTCTATTTTAACAACTCTTACACAACAAAGCTGACCTTAAATCAGCCCGCGGCCGAAGGAACGCCAGGTCGACAATGACCAGCCGGAACAGCTCTCGGACCGTTTGGTGCTGTTCGACGAGGCTGCAGGCAGCAACAGAGCAGCAGCATCAGGACAAACACGGCTGTAATAACAGGCTTCTATTGGAAAGCGTTTTCCTCTGAATCTGGTTTTTAAGATGCAAAAAAACAATAACTGTGTTTCTGTTAATGTTGACAGGAGCCTGAGGTGGTTTTCAGACTTACCGACACAAACCTGAGAACAACGCTGGCTGGAGAACAGTTTATTTTTGTAGAAGAGAAGAGGAAGACAGTTGTGTTTTGACTTTTGTTGTCTGCATAAATTAAGACAAATATGCAAATGTGAGGAAAGCCAAGAGGATACATGCATGAATCAAGAAAGGACAGGCGTGCTCATCTTAAAAACATCTGTGGGGATAAAAACGGGGATCCCAAAACTACAATTAGTGTAATGATGAAAAATATTCAAATATATTATAAAGTAGCTTCCATGAAACCAAAAGCTTTTCAAATCCCAGCCCACTCAAATCCCGGACAAGCCCCCAAATCGTTAGTCTCCCACTTTAAATCCCTGATTTAAAGTGGGAGACAGGGATTGTGGAAAAACATGGATTCTCCCAGATAAAAGAAAAGACAAATACAGTTTGGATGAATATTTGAATAATTTTACAAAAAATGTGAATGAGAAACTTGAGTCTGTTTTCCCGAAGTCCATCTTTTAACTGAGATGTGAGGCGATGGAGACACAAACCGGTGGTTTGAGTCCTCCGTAGCTGAAAGCTGTTGGGCTTTCAGAAGAATTATGGAGGCTTTCTTCTCTCTGAAGCAGAAACATCAAATAAAACCCGTTTCAGAGCAGAAATCTTTGTGTTTTAAACCGCGTCTCCAGTGTGTTCTTACAGTGTCTTGTTTGTGTCTCAGACCAGCTGAGGAGCCGGCTGAAGGAGTACGGGCTGGTCACGCCCTTCAGCACAGACGCCCACGGACACTACCTGTCCCACCTGCTCTCAGCCACTCACAAACAGCGCGTCAGGAGGGAGGTGTTTCCCTCTGGGGAATCAGACCAGAGGCTTTTCTTCAACATCACCGCCTTTGGGAAGGAGTTCCACCTCCGCCTGCGTCCAAACAGCCGGCTGGTGGCGCCCGGTGCCACCGTGGAGTGGCACGACGACATCCAAGGCTCCGGGAACCTCAGCAGTCCTGGCTACAACCAGACAGACCTGGTGGAGATGACACTTCAGCGGGAGCTGCTCAAGACGGACTGCACCTTCATCGGTGACATCACTGACGTCCCCGGCGCGTCGGTTGCCATTAACAACTGTGATGGACTGGTAAGTCCCCCTGGGCCGTGACCTTATGAAGTGACTCAGAGGGAGTTTAGGTGTCCGTAATTCTTGAGTTGAGTTCTTCTTGACGTCAGCACTCAGCATTTTAGTAGCACATTGTTTCTGGAGGTCCCCCTCTGTGGTGCAGACAGGGTGAGGTTTTAACGGCTGACTGGTCCTCTATCGCTCCCACAAACAGGATTTTCCTCCCAACATAAAACTCGAGTTCCTTTGTGCTCTCCTTCCTATAGCCCCTCATAAAACACTTCAGTGATAGTTGGAGAGGGACTCAGGCCAAAGTTTCCTGGAGTCCGAAGGCCAAGAATCTCTGCTGTTAAGAGCAGAACCGGCCTGTCAGACTCAGACTCCCCGCTGAGCTTGGGAAGCAGGACAAAGGCCCGCCGGAGCCTGAAAACTCTGCAGCCTTTAATCTTTTTGTTGTTCGCTGGAGCGACGGATCCAACCCCTTCTTCACCAGACTTCCCCAGACGAGCTCAGGTGAGAATTCTGCCACGAGGACGTCCAGATGTCTTTCCTGCTCGTCATCACGAGTTTCACTTCCCTGAAACAGACGCTTCAGAAACCGTGAAAGCAGGTGATGAAAAGGAAAACGGTCACATTGAGAGCAGCTCTAAAGCTGCGGTGACGACCAGGAAGACTCCTGGATGAGTTTCACTAAAAACAGGGCGTCGCTATTCCCGAAGCGGATCAGATGCACCGACCCGAACCGTTGGAGAGAGTGAAGCCGCACCTAAAGGACACTTTCAGCAAGTTTTATTTAGAATTTGCACAAACAGTTTTCTGGTGGTTTGAAATCATATCTGGTCCACGACCGCACCGGTGGTGCGAAAACTCACCGCTTTGTTTAGAGAATCCTAACTTTGTAGTAATCGGCCGTTATTGTTTGCAGCTTAAACAGAAACTTAGTACTAAAGTAAGTAATGTTTGTTTGAAAAGCACCTTCTGCAGAAACCACAAGGTGCATCACAATCATAACGATGCCGTGAGTGGAAAACGGTCCCAGAAATGCATGTCTTTTACAAACCAGGATGTAGTTTAAGGCTTAAAACCAGTTTTCCTGGTCAGTAATTCTTTCATCGCCGGAAGAAACGTGTTTTTATTTTACGAAGTGACTAAAACAGTCCAAGTTCTTTTGCATCGATGTTCCTGCAGCTCGTTTCGGTTTCTGAATATTAATTAGTGCCATTAGATTAGTGAATCCGACCCAGGGGCGGTGCATAATGTGACGGTGACTACAAGTGTTGGTTAAAAGCAGCATCTCACTGGGCTGCCCCTGCAGGCAGCTCCTTGGAGACGCAACATTTTAGAAAATATGTAAATTTTCAGTTTGAATTAGATCTCAATAATATAGAGCATTCATAGTTACTCATATCAAAATGTGCATTAGTGCAGAAGACCTTCTGTTTCTTCTGAAGGGCTCTAGATGCCCACACACAGGCTAGATGATGGTGCTAGGGCCCCTGGAGAACAGAAACGCCACAACCTGTGCTGTACTAATTTCCGGCACACTCAGCTGGACTCCGAACAACAACAGTTGTGTGTGACTCACACTCCAGCAGCTTTTAGTGGTGAAGATGTTCTCCAGCTACCAAAGTTTTCATCTTTCTCCTGTTTTCCGACTCGGATCCAGAGAAACGGAATGACTTCGAAGGTTTTGATATAATTTTTGGAGGAATATTTCAGCACGTCGTGGAAAACACGATTCCTGTTTGTAACTCGTCTTTTAACATTTACCACCTGGTTAGGTGGTGCTGCTGCAAGGTTATCAGGGCTCAACCCGCGGACACGCCCCCCCCCCCCCCCACACACACACACACACGCACACACACAACCACACACGCACGCAAACACATGCACACACACACACACACACACACACGCACACACACGCACGCACGCACGCACCCCCCCCCACACACACACACACACGCACACACACAACCACACACGCACGCAAACACACGCACACACACACACACACACACACGCGCACACACACACACACACACACACACACACACACACACACACACACACACGCACGCACCCCCCCCCCCCACACACACACACGCACACACACAACCACACACGCACGCAAGCACACACACACACACACACACACACACACACACACACGCACGCACGCACGCAAACACACGCATGCACGCAAACACACACACACGCATGCACACACACACAAACACACGCACACACGCATGCACACATGCATGCATGCACGCATGCGCACACACACACGCATGCACGCACACGCTCGCACACATGCACACACACACGCACCCATGCATGCACTCATGCACACACACACATGCACCCATGCATGCACACACACACACGCACGCACCCATGCATGCACACACACACGCACCCATGCATGCACACACACACACACGCATGCACGCACACGCTCGCATGCATGCACACACACACGCACCCATGCATGCACTCATGCACACACGCACGCAGAATAGTAAAATTTTAACTAAGATGAACTAAAGTACAGAATTATTGACTACACGTGTCTGCAGCACGATCAGACACACATTTATATAGTTTATCAGCAAAAAAAAATGTTGATTTGGAGTGACTTGCTCTTTAAATAAGAAGATATAATAAAGCATCACAACATGTAAAGTTTGTTCTTTAAGTAGTTAAGGCGCAACAAAACAGCTTAATACCTCAGTCGTGACGGCGGGAAGTGTGTGTGTGGGTGTGTGTGCGTGTGTGCGTTGTTAGCCTTAGCAGCAAAGTTAGCAAACATCAGCCGTAACCGGCAGCGGCCGTGAAACTCGGAACGGTAGTAAGAAAGTCCCTGGTGTGTTTAGAAAATGGGCTGCAGTACCCAGGTTTGACCACAGGATGTCATTCTTACATGATGCACCTTTAAATAATTATTTTTTTCAAAGGTTTTGAGCATTAACACAGCAGCTCCATTGGGTGCGTTTAACATTTTTGTTTGTCACATTTTTCCTTTCCAGTTTAGAAAAGCTTGAATAATTTTAAAGTGTATTTTACTGACGCTAACTTTAAGTTCCACCTTAAATCTGCTGCATTCAGCGCCACAAAATGTACTGAAATGGAAAAACCGTTTCCATCGCGATTTATCATCATTTTGTTAGAGTTGTCTTGGGTTGGGCTGTTTGCCCTGAAGCAGGAAGTGGACCTCATTTGTTACTGCAGTTTTCAGCCCAAGCCTGAAGCTCGCAGGACTGCAAGATCAAACGCTCCCCAAATCAGTGGCTCCCAAGGAAAAAGCTTGTTGTCGAGGCCGGTGGCGTTTGATCTCAAGTGGCAGCCTTCGCTGCACAAGGTGTGTGTTTTACCATCTCCTAATTACAGCCAGGCTGCTGTCTGGAAGCCGTTACTGCAGCGAGCACGCAGGCAGGAGGCCTGGCAGCAGACGCTGAGAGGCAGATGCCAGTGGAGCGTGTGTGCATGTGAGTGTGTGTGCTCGTGTGTGTGCATGCATTAGGTTTCATCTTCATCTTTAATGGGAGCTTTTTCAAAATAAAAGCAGAATGATAAAGCTGCTTTTTTGGCCAGCTGAGATCCTGATGAGTTTAGGTCATGAACAGAAACCAGGTGTGGGCGATCACATCTGAAGCGGAGCGCCGCTCCTGATCCACGTCAGATTTTCATCTGACGACAGACGGATTCTGACCTGCTGGAGTTTCTAATCCAGCTGCTTCTGGATCCTCTGAGCGGCATCGCTGATGCGTGACCACACATCCAGCAGCTGAGAGCAAAATGAGGAGTTATTTGGCGTTGTGTTTACTCCCACCTGATGAGTGTTGGGAATGCTGTAACTGGATCCTGGAGGATGAAACGTGTTCCTGAACGCTTTCATCTCCCGTCTTTCTGTGATTCTGCCGTTTGGCCTCGTTTGTTTGTGTTTAGTTGCTTTTATTTGAATGTTTTTCCCGAACGACCCGAGCCTGGAGAAGGATCGGAGTCCGGAGGGGTCAACGACGAGATAAACGTGGCTGTAAGCCTTTCCGAGCCTCGGGGGGAGTTAGATTTATGTGGTGGCTCTTCCAGCCGCCCTCAGGCCTGTTCACACTGTTACAGCATCTCTGTTACACACACATCTGGACTGCATCTGTTTGACGTTCAAACACAATCAGAGTTGTTCTGGAAAGTGGCGTCCATGTTCCGACAGCTTTATTGATCAACACGGAGCAGCTGTGGAGTAATGGCCACTCCTGAGCCGTTCCCAGTCTGTACTCCGAAACGGGAACGTTCTGAGCTCGTGTCGGATGCGAGAGTCGCTCCTGCAGCAGAAACCGCTTCACGTTTTTAAGTGCATCTCGTTTGCAGATCGATTAGAGAACGATCCAAAGCCTTTTTAGCTTCCCTAATTTCGGCAGACATCAAAGAGCAGACGCAGAAGCTGGAGGCTGTCGGGCCAACGGGCTCCATTAGTGATGTTCTGATGATGCGTTTGGACTTGAACACTATGGAGAAACAACTTTATCGGAAGTTTTTACCACATGAATGAAGTTTAGAGTGAGGAAAAGGCTGTTGGCCTTCAGATGATTCCCGTCCTTCCGGCTCCCCCACATCCTCGCCTCCTCTTGTCCGTTTCCCAGATTGCAAATTCTTTCTTGTGAAATAATCAGCCTGAAAGGCGTCGACAGGAAGCTGCTCATGTCTGGGATTTTTCAGGACTGAGCTGCTCAGAAACAGCAAACAGCAGAGAATAAAAGGGAATCGGAATATTCTTCTCCAGGTCATCCTAAATGAGCAGGAAAACACAAACATCCAGACTTTTGATTTTCTGACATTTCAGAGACTTTAAAACAATCTGATGCATTGATTTAACTTCCTGTTAATATTTTGGATGTTGTTTTTGACAGATTAAATAAATAAAACATCCGTTAGTTGTGTTTGTTAGGCTAGCAGCTAAACCCGGTTATTCTGGCTCACCCTCACACACCAGAGAAAACTTTATCCAGGGGGTGTGTTCC